TTTTTTTTTTTTTTTGTTATTTATTCTGGTATATTTTACTCTGTGCTGAATTTTAAAGATAAATTATAAATACTAAACTTCATTGTTTTTAATATGTTGCTTATCTTAACATGCGTTAATTTTAATATCGCATAATATTACATTTAGTATGTTGAAATATGAGATTAATTTGAACAAACATTGTAACATAAAAACAATATTATTCTTATTGCACAAATAAAAAAGAGAAAGAAAAAAATAATTATGTAATGTGTAATTGCAGATGCAATTTGTAAATATGTTGAATAATATTAAAATGTATTAATCAGCGTTTTTGACCGTAATCGATTTTGACCGTTATTTTAAGTGATGATTATTATTAAAGCAAATGCAATAACTTGTCCATTAGATTTAGTAAATCAGGAAGATAGTTCTTTACAAAATAAATTATTATTCTAAATCAACAATTCTAACTATTTTATTCTTCCTATTATAATTATATATGTATAATAATTTATATTTAATAATTGTTAAGTGTTTTATTTAAATTTTTATTTGAAATATTGTAATTCAATTTTTTGAGTTTTAAAATTGTTGCACAATTTCAAGCTGTTTCAGATTAACATCATTTTAAGAGGAAAATAATTTTTTGTTTTTGAGATTGTTCTTTTATCTTTTAAAGTATAAGTAATATTGTTATTTTTAATGACATACATATAATAAAATTCTATTTTATAATATATCATATAATTATATATTAATATTAAAAACATTACTACATTATTACATTAGAATGTAATAATATATATGTATAGTAATATATATCTACTATTACAGAATGTAAAATAACATAATAAATAATTTTAATAAAAATGTATGTGAAAAGATATTGATTAATATAATTAATTTTGTTGAAAAAAGAAGTTATATTAATATTATTAATTTTAAATTAACAAAAAAACTTACAATATTTATATAATTCTAAATTCTAAATGATAATAGAATAATGTATTATACATTATATATTATGTTTTATATATACTTACAATATTTATTCTGAATATAAAATAATATTATATATCTATATATTTTTTTTTATAATAAATTTTAATTATATAGAATATAGTTTACTTATTAATTATTGTATTAAAATTAATCATAAATTATACTTTAATGGATTTTATGTATATATTTTGTAATTAATTTAGAGTAAAATATTAGATTATTTAATATTATTTACGAAATATATACAATCTTCATCTGCAAATTCCTGAAACATCAATAATTTACTTATGTAATTATTTTTTCATAAATATTATATAGTGCATTTAGAAATTGTTTTCTGAATAAATTTAAAAATTATTTAACCTGTCCCTGTTTCTCTATACTTTCTAGCTTTTAAATTATTATTATGTTTATTTTATAGAATTTTTTTATTTTGCATTATCTACTGCTCCCAATCCTCGAATTGCTCTTAAACCTCGGTTATTTGTAGGCACAGACTGTGATGTTTGATTATTTAATTCATTAGTTGAAGAATGACGCTCTAAAATAAATAATCTTGTTCATTCTTTAATAAATATTAAATTTACAGTTACATAAATTTTTTTTATCTTAAAATAAAAATCAATTTTTTTTTGAAAAAAATTTAAAAATTTAAAAATTCATTTGGAATTACCATCTTCTGTTCTCAATACAGAATTAACAATATCATAATCCTCTTGAATAAAAGTTTTATTCAATTGTGAATTATAAAATTTTTGTAAATTTACAGGTAATGTATTAAAATTTCTACTCTCCAAATCTATTGCATATAATAACTTTTGACGAGATGTAGAACATACATTTTCTTTAATTAAAATTTGTCTTGCAGTGATCATTAAATCATTTAGTTTTTCTTTATGACTGTCATAAAAATGTTTGCCATGTACAATAATCTAGAAACATAAAGAAATATTAAAATAAATGTAAAATCAAAGTTTAAGCTTCAGATACTTACTAGTTCTATAAAAATTTGGATATCTTCTGAAGAAGCTATCTCTAATAACATTTCCATATAATCCAATAATGCAGATTGAAATCTAAGAAAGGACTGTGATGAATGCAGAATATAACTTAAATATTTAGAAAATAAACAAATAGCATTATGAAATTGTACTGTATTTTCTTGCCTTAGATCTTTCCTTCCTATTATATTTATAAAAAAATAAAAAATTTATTAATAAATATATTAATTTCAATTTTTTTAATTTTAAATCAAAAATGTAAATAAAAAAGATACTTACTTTCGTAATCAATTTGAAATCGTCTTACTAAATGCTTATATAAACTTGTTTCTTCAGAATCACATACATTTTTGATTGTAGGATAATTATATATCATTAATAATTTTGCTCCAAAGTCCCGATTGTTTAAAGCATATTGATAAAGTTTATCATGTATATCTCTGCAATTAATTAAAATCAATTAAAATTAATTTTTAAAAATAATTATTAGAGAACATAAGAAAAAAAGAATGAAACTAAACATTTTATTTTATAATATTACTTTAAATTTTCCTTATTCACTTTCTCATTAATTAGTTTTACAAAATCTTCAGATTTTTCTGCTACATTTTCATTGTGAACGGTATTGATAAGATTGAGAAAATTCACATAATCTATATCATCAGAATATAATGATCTTCCTGGTCTAGATAATAAATTTTTATCATTTTGAGCCCATCCTCGACCACGACCAATTGACACCATTTCTACTTTGGAAAAAGTTTAAACTATGAAATAAAAATAAATAATAAATTTTTGCAAAAAGTATATATATTGTAAAACTTTTAAATTATGATATTCATTTAATTAAATCTTATACATAAAATATATACTTACTTTCAATATGAAAATTCGATGGAATAAATTGTATTATTTTTAATTAATATATTAAATAAGAAAAGCATAAAACTAATCATAAATCAGCGCCATCTCTTGAGTATCTGAATTTATATAGTATATATAGGCAAAAAAAGAAAACAATGAGAGAAAAATAAAATTAAAAATTGTGGAATCAGCGCCATCTTCAGAATGCTATAAATAAAATAGATATAGATAAGAAGAACAAATAATACAAAGATAATATAAGAAATGATCATTAGCACCATTTTTTGAGTGATAGCACAAAAAATAGAATGAACATATATTTCATGAACATAAAATATAAACACAAACTAGATATAGAAATGATATTCTTATATCTTATATTTTATATCTTATATCTAATCTGTAATAAAATATGGCAAAGTAATCTGATAAGAATTAAAAACCAACATCATTTTTTAAAAAACATTTTTCTTATTCAAAAATGGCGCTAAATTTAATTTTTATCCTATCTTTGAAGAAATGATTCTATTATTCAAAAGATGATGTTGAGAATCAATCCTTATATTCTTTATCTTTTTTCCATTATTTATTTTTTTATCTACATGTGTTTCATTTAGATATTTTAAAAATAACGCAAATTCCTTAATATTTAACTTATTTTTTCTATCTCTTTATTCTGCTTTCTTTTTTTTGTATATAATATTATAAAAATACTAACAAAAAATTTTCTTTTCTAATTCTATATTCCTATTAATTATTCATATTTTTCAGTCAAAAATCATATTCTTGCTAGATAATTACAGAAATATTTATTATATTTGTAATATAATTAGAATCTATATGGATGAATGAATGATTATGAATTGAATGAAATTAAAAGTTTAAAAATTGAAAATATAAAAAATTGAATTAAAACTTTATTTCATTTATAGTATAACATAACATAGAATATTTTTACAAAACATAATATTTATATAAATAATATATATCTATCGTAAATATTGAAATTTAACTAATAAAAACTTTTTTTTTAACTTTACAAATTTCAACAAATGAATTGATTCAACAATTTAATTCTTAATTTATTTACTGTTATTTCTAATTCTTAAATTTATTTACTGTTCAAATGATAAAAAGTGCATGAAAATTCTTGACATAGCCGATAAACTAGAACAGGGACATAAAATTTTAAAAGATGGTAAATCTATTTTATATCTTGTCTGTGATGTTATATATAAAATAAAACACATAAGTTGTAAAAAATTACTATAAATTATTAATTCATTTTGTGTTTCCAAAAAAATTAGAAAAAAAAAAAATTCCTAAGAGTGATTCAAATCTCATATTTGTTATATAAAATAGCATATATTTATATAAAATAATAGATTACTAAATTATTTAAAAATATTATTTATATAAAATAATATAATTTTTTATATAAAAAA